TGAATTAGGATATAGGGGTAAGTTCAAGATTTATTACAAACTTCCAAGACACCAACTAGAGTGGATCTACGATGATGAGGGGCTAATGAAGTTGATAGGTTATGTGAATGATGGCGATGAAGTGGATGTGTATGTGGATCATGACATCGATATTGCAAATATCCATATTGTTGCCCCAAATGAGAAAGATATTAAAGAACCATTTCCTAGGGAAGATGAGAAAGTAAACACATTTGAAGACCATGTTCAAGACTACTTCCATGACAATGATAATAGAAGTGGGAGTGACACTAGTTGTAGTGGAGGTGGCGGGACTAGAAGGAAGAGATGCTCTTAAAAAATGAAGAAACCTCGACCCTATAAGTAACCTAATATATTATAGGGATTTAATATCTTGTATTTAATATGTTTGTGATCATAATGGTTATTTTTGGCTAAATTTTTCCTATCTATTGCAGAGGATGTAACAGATTATTCAGACCATGAAATGTTGAGGAATTTATCAGATCATCCGACTCAAATGATGAGGATATAATGAGATATCCCCAGTACAAGTCAAATGCCGATATGATTGAGTCATGTGAAAGGCTAGAGTTCTCAAATGTTGTAGAACTTATAGAAGCTCTAAGAAATGATGCTTTCGAACATGGTTATGAATACAAAACGGTGAAGAATAAGTCTAGTAGAGTCACTGCAATTTGTGTTAACAGCTCCTGCTCTTGGAGGATAAATGCCTCGTGGGATCGAGAGAAAACTGTTTTCCAAATCAAAAGGCTAAATGCCATTCACAATTGCCAACGGATCAAAAGAAGCAGGAGGTTGGACAGTTCATTTTTGAGCAGAAAATACATTAACCTTATTAGAGATGATCCACAAGTAAATGGAAAAAATATATTGTCAAAGCAGTAAAGAGAGGCAGTGGTTTGAATATATCTAAGTTCCAAGCATACAGGTTGAAGAATTGTGCATTAAATAAGGCTCAAGGGGAATTTGGTGAACAATACTCTAGGATTAGACAAAATTGTCAGGTTCTACTAGAGAATAATCCAGGAAGTGTGGTGAAGTTGATGGTGGATAGGGTATATCCTTCATGTCCACCAAAGTTTGAAAGAATTTTTATAAGCTGGAAAGCTTCAATTGATGGATTCATGAATTGCAGACCAATCATTGGGATCGATGGGTGTCACATATAACATGAAACTGGAGGACTAATTCTAAGTGCTATTGGACTTGATGGAAACAAACAATTATTTCCTCTTGCATGGGCAGTGGTAGAGGCTGAATGAAAGTCATTGTGGGCTTGGTTTTTACATTATTTAATGGAGGCCATAGGTCAAGTTGAAGAGCGGGGGCTAACATTCATATCCAATCAACAGAAAGCTAGCAAACCTATCTTTTACTTTTTTTACTAAAATAGAGCATAATCTGAAACACATTCCATTTCATCTTATGGAACTAAAACTATGAACCTAAACCATGTTTCAGTCTAATTCTGTCCAGAACTGAAATGTGGTTTCATTTCTGAACTGAACCAATGAATTGAAACCTGGTTTCAGTTAAGAACTGAAACCTAGTTTCAGTTTTGAGCTGAACCCAGAACTGAAACAGGTTTCAGTCCTGACCTGAAACTCAGTTCTAAACTGAAACTTGGTTTCCATTCTGAACTGAAACTTGGTTTCTGTTCTGAACTGAAACCGCAAGTTGTGTTTCAATTCAGAACAGAAACAAACATGTTCTGTTCTCATACATATGATATTCAGAAAATTATATTCAATTTAAAAGTTAATTGATGTACATAATTTTCTGAAATGTAGGGATTGTTGGTCGTGTTTGATAAAGTTTATGGTCACGCCGATGTTCGTTTTTGTGTGCACCATACGTATGCCAATTTCAAGGATAAATTTAAATGTGGAAAGTCACTAAAAGATAAGATTTGGAAAGTGGCATGTTCGTATAAAGAAGTCTAATTCAACAAAGCAAAGAAAGAAATTGAGAAGGAGCACAAGGAAAGATATCGATGGCTAGATGCAAAACATGTTGATAACTGGGCTAGATGGAAATTTCATCCACATGTGAAATGCGATACGGATACTAACAATTCCAGTGAGTCATGGAACAAGTTGATATTAGAAGCACGTGACCAGCCTATAATAACATTGCTCGACACAATAAGAAGGCTTGTTATGAGAAGGCTTCAAACCAAAAGAGAGAGTTTGGTGAAATGGGAGGAAAAAATATGTCTGAGAATCATGAATAAGTTGCCGACAGTTGGAGATGAGAGTAGGCAATGTAATGTACATCATGTTGGAGATTCGAAATACGAGGTAGAGCACAATGATGATGTTTGGTCCGTTGACTTTGAAACAAGGCTATGTAGTTGTGGACAATGGCAAATCAGTAGAATGCCCTCAAATGCCCTGTATTCACTCTGTTGCGACAATTATAAAGAAAAGAGTACACTTTGAAAATTACATTGACTCATGTTTTGCTATAGAAACATATAAGAAGACATATGATAGGCTGATATACCCAGTTCCCCGAATAAACCAATGTCTTGAAGTTTCTGAAGAGGACAGAGTGTTACCACCACCTTTTAGGAAACAACTAGGAAGACCTAAGAAGAACAGGATAAAAGCGGTTGACAAAGACACTGAGAAGAAGGGTGGGTTTAGAAGGCAATATAAGATGATGAGATGTAGTAAATGACACAACTTGGTCATAATGTCAGAGGATGCAAAAATGGTAGTTATAGAGACTATAGATGGAGATCAACAAGAATGTGGAGAAGAAGGAGCTTCTACACATGGATCATGCAGGCCAGCGGAGAAAACAACAAAAGAGGGTGATCACTGTCTTGGTTTAGTGTGGGATGACTGTGGCATTCTCAACAAGTTAGCTACAAAACAATTTAGAGTGAGAAAAGGTATTATTTTTATTAGTAACTCATAATTATCACGCACTAATTTGATATTTTTTTCTTATATAAGCATGTTTAATACTCTATATGAAAGGGTTATAATGTATGGTAACATGCCTCTTGATCTGATCAAATACGCTTCTATCTTCGTGAATGTACTTGAATCATTATGATTGCTACTGACTTGTTACAATTTGTTACTTGTAAACCCCTCAACAAAGAAGAGGAAAATAACCGACGATGTTAGAAAACCAACTGAGGCTCCCGGCAAAAAATGAAATCAATACCTAGAAGAAATGTGGGTTTCTTGTCAGGCTCAGGGAGGGACCTTGGTTGTACCGGTTTTATCCCACCAAGAAGCGGAACAGTTTCAGGTGTGGTGAATGAAAGGGGGAAACTGAAAGAACATTCTAAAGGGACAACTACTATGCAATAAGACTTGCAAGGTTCTTGCTTTTGAAAGTTAATTTGTACAAAGTTTTTGTAGTATCTTTTGTAAGAAACCATATGATATGTAAGAATCTAGTATTATTATTGACCAGTTACGAATGGGTGTTTTTTGTGCTTAAAGATTTGTTGGATTATTGTTTGTTATTATCATGAATGTGAATTTATTGATCTTAGTTATTAACCATCATGCGAAATCATGTTTTGTTGTGGAATGCAATAATCCACTTAATTGAATTTGTCTTTTTTTTAGACTGTAGCAGGAGTATATACATGTAAATATGGAGGAAGAATTATTTTGCATCTGAAGTCAAAAAACAGGGGTGTCTTTGCACTTAAATTGAAATCACAAGGGGTGTCTTTGCTATTAAAATGAAAGTTGAGAACGTTCTGTGTTCACAAATTGATTGGAATTGTACCATTTGAAGAGTAGAATGAAACTGAGAATTGATGTGAAGAGCAGAACAAAGAGAGAGAATTGATGTGAAAAGCAGAACACACACACGCAGAGAGAGAGAGAGAGAGAGAGAGAGAGAGAGAGAGAGAGAGAGAGAGAGAGAGAGATTCTATGCCCTTTTTTCAAATGAAAAAATTTAGAAACGAAAGTTCAAACCATGTAAGCGCATTTTGGGGATTATATAATGATGCAACCCACATCTAACAGACTTAGACAAAGTTTAGTTCGCAGCGGTTAAACGCAACAATACATACTACAGGGGTAGTAAGTACAACTCGTTGAAACTACAGGGGGTGTGTTCGCAATTAACCCAAAAATAAAATGAACATTAAGCTGAAATCATCATTCTCTTCGCCCATCAATTCGTTCTTTAAATGCTCTGGATTTACTCATTCTATCTCTCACTGTAATCAGAACAGTGCAGCGCAATCAAAGAAGTCATGATTGTTTGAACAATGGAAAAGACGTCAACTGTCAACTTTAATAAATGTATCATGCACATAAAAATCTTTGATAACCATCAGATACATAAAGAGAGAGAGAGAGAGAGAGAGAGAGAGAGAGAGATTCTATGCCCTTTTTTCAAATGAAAAAATTTAGAAACGAAAGTTCAAACCATGTAAGCGCATTTTGGGGATTATATAATGATGCAACCCACATCTAACAGACTTAGACAAAGTTTAGTTCGCAGCGGTTAAACGCAACAATACATACTACAGGGGTAGTAAGTACAACTCGTTGAAACTACAGGGGGTGTGTTCGCAATTAACCCAAAAATAAAATGAACATTAAGCTGAAATCATCATTCTCTTCGCCCATCAATTCGTTCTTTAAATGCTCTGGATTTACTCATTCTATCTCTCACTGTAATCAGAACAGTGCAGCGCAATCAAAGAAGTCATGATTGTTTGAACAATGGAAAAGACGTCAACTGTCAACTTTAATAAATGTATCATGCACATAAAAATCTTTGATAACCATCAGATACATAAATAAACAAAACACCAACCTAAAAGTTCCAATTAACTATAAGATATCTTTAAGAAAGCTTGATAAAACAGTAAACTGCCTCAAAACAATATGCTATAAAGAAAATATAGCACAATATCAGGTCAAAGCTATTACTGACACAGCCTGAAATTCTATAACAGCTGAACAGAATAGTAAGCTATAACTCACCTTGCCATACCCTGCTAGGGGCAAAGGCACTGAGCAAATCTGAAATCTTTTGCCTTCTCTCAGAACTAGCACCATATGCGTATCACAGAAGTCAACATCTTCAATTGAAATACCAGGCTCCTCAAGAACTACATTCTGAATGGTTTACAAAGTATGAGAAAAGATGTTAGAAAACTAAGAGCTGTAGGTTTGCAAATGACATCATATATACAACAGATGAGAAACTAGCTTGCAGAACATGCTAAATGATATCTACAGCTATCTGAAACCACATTAATATAAAAGCTTAACTCCTCAGTCAGATAAGGACAGTTGGGATAAAAAACATAAGGCCCTGACTCATACCTATATTCGTTTAGCCCCACAACTACTCTATGTCATTCCAGTGATCTCTCCCTGTCCCTCTTGTCAGCGTGGTCCAGCATCAATTAATGAGAATGACTTAAAATAGAGGATTGCAGTACCACGTGATGGCTCCTCATGTAGGACACAATTGCAGTGCCTGGCAAATGAGGCCATCACGTTGGTGCCTCCCAAACAACAATAGTCATACCGATATCATGCAAGCAATGAAATTTCCAATGACAAATTTTATTGTCTTTTTGCCTTCTTCTAGAATCTAGACTTTCCTATTGTAAGAGAAGTGTATCAATTACCCCTCTGTTGCATAACCAGTAAGGTAATGTTTCTCTACCTACCACCAGCCTGTAAATGTTGGGAATAGTTTCCCATCAGAAGGTTGGCTTTCATGTTTGATTGCCAAGCCACGGTTGACATTGTTAACATTTACATGGATCCTTCTCAGGGGCGCCACAGCAAACACGTCTTGCCTGTAATTAAGCTAAAACCATGCCACATAACCAATAAATAGAAAGTTAAAACTACAACTTGCTCAAATAGTTATATAGCACTGAAAACTCAACCTTTCAATTTTTGTACCAATATTTCGGATTTTCTCACATTTGTAAAAAGATAAGCATGTTACACTCATTCAATCTAATTTTTACGGCTTAATAGGAATGAGTTCTTATCACTCAACCGGAAGAGATGGGGGAAAACAAATATATAGTAACACATACTCCACTGACCAAAGTACATGGGCATATAATCCATGTGCATTGCCGTAAGATAAATTTGTTCATGCATCATACTAACCTCCCAGGTTCTCAAATTGGAATCTTCAATAGAACATCGAAGGAGATAGTGTGAATTAGCAGGTACACCTCCCCTAGGAGCATCAGTAAACATATATAAATATCCTCGATGATGCTCAATAATACAATGAACATGAGGTTCACATTCCCACACTAACTTCATTGGAGACAGGGGATCAGCTGCGTTTATCAAGTACACCTACCAAAGAAAGTTCCAACTGAAATGATGATATATAAAATGAAACCAATATGGCAAATGTGAAATTTAGCAATACCTTCGAGTAAGTATTTGAAAAGATATTTACAGTAACAAACTGAAAATCCTTGGTATTTCTAATGTTAAGATACACATTCTCATCGGATTCTTCGAGAATCAACACATCATCCTTACTGGATCCAAGTATGCTACAAAATATCCTAAGCAGAGGAAATATTTAATTACATCATTACGGAAAATAAAAGGAATCTAAATGCAGGAATTTCAATATACTCACCGAAATGGCCTCTTATCCTTGTTTGTGACTGTATATAGCAATGCCTTTCCATTCATTGCCCATGACAAATTTGAAACCCGATCAGCATGGGGTTTGTCACATAGTGAACCGGTACTTAAGTCCCTTACAGATAGTGTGAAGCAGTCTTTATCTTTATCATACATAGTATATGCAAGAAAACGATGGTCCGGAGATATCTCAGATAGTTCTTCATAGGAGTATCCTGTAAATTGGACAGACAACATGAACATGTGCTAATGGGAGCACGCAATACTGATACAATGTTCCTGTATAACATGGAGAAAGTATGTATGTTATGCAGTGCAGCAGAATTTTCTGAGACAGCTACTGAAGGGTACAAGATGTATTCACCGTAAAAACAGCAAGGATTATTACAAATGATGATGCTGTAAAGGCTAAGAATAAAGCATCCTGTTAGAGGTATCTTTGAACTAATCAAAGTAACCAGCTTATTCTAAGGTCACCTTTGTGAACATCAATTTAAAAGTCAGTCTACAGACCTAGTCTAAGAGTGTGAATTAGAAATTTCATAAATCCATTTGAACAGAAATAGCAAGTTTTCTTGCTAGATCTAAAGTGAAGATCACTACCACCAATAGGCTCACGATCATATGACATTCACTGGAATTCAGCACAAAAATTCTTTAGATACACTTGAAGTGACTAGCTTAAAAATATAATATTGTCCACGAGTCTCTTTGTTACACAAAGGATGTGTTCATAAGTTAAAACATGGCAAAACACCAAGAAGGATAAGCAATCAAATGCCGAGGTCATGAAAGACAAGGAATACAGGCATCCTCTAGGAGGTACGAAGAAGAATTAATTCAGTCAGTATATGAACTTAAGATGAGAAATTCTACAAGTCTAATAATATGCTATTGAGCAAACTACCAATTTACATAAATCCAATTATATCTCAACAGATATGTACAGCATTTCTGCTATATTTAAAGTACAAAATACAAATTATAGGTGAAACAATACACTTATCACAAGTGATTGAGTTTACATCTCTAAGTTCATGATCCTTCATAGCACAAATTTTCAAGCTCAAGGTCGCAATCATTCTTCACTTGGTAAATTTATTATATTATATCCAACAATTAGGTAAAAAGAGGGTAACTAACAGAAATCTTTCTAAGTGTTCACATTATGGACAAAAAATTCCGCCCTAAATTTCTAAATATGACATTTTGAACGCCTCTTTTGCAATTTCTATAAAACTAACTTTTGATGCAGAAGATAACATCATTGGCCACAACAACTGTATGCACTGTGACATAAACATATATAAGATTATTATTTCGGAAACTGATAATTACATCCAAATTTTGTTTATTATTTAACTAGAAATCGAAAGGGGGTAAATTATCACTTTAAATGTTAAGAGATTTTTCTGTCAATCATTCACACCTTAGGCAAATTTTCTGTAATTACCCTAAAAATAAGGTCATTGGCACTTGACTGAAAGTTTCTCCCTATTCTAATTTTTAATAGCAGAATTTCCGTTTTGACAATTTAATACCCCAAAGTGGAAAAAAAAGTAAAGCGATAGTTTTGTTAGAGAATATCATCATAGAAAAATGAATGAAAAACAATTGTCTTATCAAATTTCAGTTCTTTGAGTTCGGGGAAAGTGAGAAAAAAAAGTTAGGGCTCTGGGTATCAAATTGTCAACTTAACGTCAATTTGCAAACTTTGAGTTATCGCATTGTCCAAATAGAACTTCAGGATATCAAAGTTATAAAAATAAAAATAAAAACTAAAACTTTGATGTGTTAAAATGCAAATAACCCTAAAAATATCACGAAGATTGCATCTTTTACCTCCAAACCTCTCTGCCTCCACATTATAATCCACAATCTTCTGCTCAATCCTCTTCCCGCCCGTAAAATCAAACCCGGCGACGCCTCACTATACGAAACAAACTCCTCATTCAGCTTCGCCGACCTCCGGCAAAGCACAGGGTACTGCTTCCCCTCCTCCACCTCCTATAATACAGCCACGGGCCCCACCTCACCGGCGTCGTGCAAGAATCTCCCGCCATCCTCGTCGCATCTCGATCTGGAGCTTTCGCTGGAGCCGGTCGGCGGCGAGCGGAGCCATGACGGCCTCGGTGTACTTCTCCTCTTGCTCCATGTAGATGTCCATTGTGGCGCATCGAGATTGGTCGGAGAGTTCGACATCCAGCTGTAGGGTCCTGCCACGTCACCCGTGGACGGTGAAGGGGACAGGCTTCTGAGGGGGCGCGGAGGTGACGGCGGCGGAGTGGAGGAGGAGGGGATTTAGGCTTTGAGGGGCGCGCGTGGATGAGGCGGCGGAGGAGGAGGTAGGGTTTTGGGGGTCGCGAGCATTTTTTCCCCACCCTCCGATGAGGTTGAAGAGGGGAGCGAGTTTTTAGCAGATTGATAGAGGGTTTAACGAGGGTTTTGAGGCAGAACAAATTTTCAAAACAGCCCCAAAGAGATTTTTATTTTTCAAAATCGACCCGGTTTTTTTTTATTTACCAAAATCGACCCGGTTTTTGCCACGTGGGCTTAATGACGTTCCTAAACAGTCGGGGTTGGCAACCCCGACTGTTTAGGACATGCAAATTTTAGGTTTAACGATATTAATTAGGATTTAACACCCTTCTAAACAGTCGGGGTTGCCAACCCCGACTGTTTAGGAACGTCATTAAGCCCACGTGGTAAAAATCGGGTCGATTTTGGTAAATAAAAAAATGGGTCGATTTTGAAAAAAAAATTTGGGGCTGTTTTGAAATTTTGTTCTTTTGAGGCATGGGCTAATGGGCTGTTGATGGGGGGAAATTTTGGGCAAGTATATAAATTGGGGTATTCTCAATATTAGCCCCTCACCTACAACTTTCGTACTTCGAGCGTCTTGAAATTAGTCTCTCTAGTCAGCAAATTTTAGGAGACTAATTTCAAAACAGTTAGGGGATGTTTGGATCTGTTTTTTGGATGAGTAAAAGGGGGAAAGCTGTCAAAAATGACAGCTTTTTGGCAGCTTTCCCCCAAAATCACCTCTATAAAAGGTGATTTTAGGGGAAAGCTGTCAAAAGCTGCCATTTTTAGCAGCTTTCTCCCCTTTTACCCATCCAAAAAAGGGAACCAAACGGGGCCTTAATGAATTTAGAAGACCACTTTCGAAACATGGAGAAGTTGGGACTTACTTCGAAACACTTCAGGCAATCTCTTGAATTTTGGTTAGTAATGAACCTGACCCAGATTCGGGCTATTTCTTATTCGACAAAACTTAGACTTCTACCATGGTCCAATTTTGTTTAGGCCAATAAAAGGTTATAAAATCAGTTTTTCTTTGGACCAGCGTCCTCCCGGTTTAATTTAGAACTGGCTTAGGAACGACTTGAGTCAGGACTAATCCTGATCCTATTTAGTGTCGGTGACCATATGTGCTAAAAGATTTAAAAGATTAATTTAAAAATATGAAGATATGAAGTATTAGCTTCAAAATAGGACAGATGTGGGTAACTGACGTTGAAAAACCCTTTTTACTTACTAATTTCTTTATCTAGCTACAGATCATCTCAGCTCATATCCGCCTATTTTGGTTGGTTTCTTGAAAATCAAAGAAAAAGAAAACAAGGGGAGGAAATGAATTTTGATGATTTCTACCTATTTTCTCAACAAAATTCATGAAATGAGTTTCCTAAACTTTACGTCACATCACCCAATAAGAATGTGTCATATCACCTCATTTCTTCATTTCAAAGTGTGAACTAAACTAGGGAAAAGAAATAATCATAGGAAATAAGTTTCCTATAATTATTTGCTTTGACTTATTTGCCAACCAAACATAAGCTCAAATTTCAAATGATATGACCATTAAAACCCACTCCCTCAGAACAAAAATATTTCCTTCCCTTGTTAAAATCTCAACGTTGTTTTCATTCAGTTCAACTGTGAAGAAAGATGGCAAAATTTACAACAAATACAATTAGAGCACATTTAACAACTTGATCAATTGGAATATAATTCAGTTTTTTGCATTATAATTCATTTTCACGTGTTTCATAACATATTTCGAGTAGATTATAAACCGCCAAACAATAACTATAAGCTTTTAGATTTCTTCTTGGTGTTACAATATGTATGTTTTGTTGAGCGCTGCGGAAGCCAAACAACCAAACCAACGTGTTACGAGAAATCAAATCCAACGAACGTCGAGAGAAGGCCAAACGAACCAAATCAATACCGCAAACACAAACAACTAATTTTAACGCGGTTCGATAAGTTGCCTACGTCCACGGGGTAAAAAGGGGATAGGGTTTTTCACTAATAGAGAAGAAGAGTACAAACTGAGATTACAAATCACTCAAACTCACCAATTAATCTCACCAACAAATCTCTAATTCTCTCCAAATAAAACCATAACCAATAGCTCAGAAAATACATCTTTTCTGTGTTCCAAATATCCCTAATTTTCTTCTCAATTCTCTCTTCCAATTGTTCCATATATATAGAAATCCTAAAATCATAAACATATTAGGAATTCTAAAATAAAAAACAAAACAGATTAGAAATCCTAATAACCCGTTACCAAAACAGATTTAGAATCATGTTACCAAAACAGATTAAGAATCCCAATAACCTATTACCAAAACAAATTAGTAAACATATTAGTAACCTACTATCCAACAATTCTCCACATCGGCGAAGTTTTTCCAAACTGAGCCGACACCAATACCAACCAAACATCTCACTTGTTGCGTCCAGTACGAAGTGGAACAAATGCACGATAACGGACTCAATCCACAACAAGTCGAGAACTCAAACGAGAATACGAACAAACTCTAAATGTCGGTATCAACTCATCAAACCGACTGCATCATAAATGACTGCCTACGTATCCTCTTTCCCAAGGAATCAAGCCTTCACGTAGTTCACTCAAACGGCCTCCAAAGACCCTCAATCAAATAGAAAAGTTTACAACTCTTCACCAATATCACCAACGGATCTGCAACTGATAGCAGTCTCAATGGCCCCAAATCAAAATAAATCAAACACCTTCATCTGAGATGAACCAATGGTCGTATCCAAAACATGTCCACCAGCTGCACTCGAATCAAAAACCAACTCATCATCTGTATCCAAATCCAAATGATCTCCACACTGTGTCACCTCAGCTAGATCCCAAACGATGTAGTATGATCTGGAGTATGTTGAGTAATCTCCCATCCAATGTGAAGTAGCATCACCCTCCACTCGCTGTGATATCCCAATGATCTGATCAACACTCTCCACTTGCCGAGAGTCAAATGTGACACACCTGCTCAGAACAAAATCAGAAGCTCCTAACTGATAATCAAACGAACCTATGAATCCCAAACATGCAATCGAATCAAATCTCACATCCTCGATGTGACCAAATGCTGAGTAACTAAATATCCGATGCAACCCAAAATCTGAAGCAGCTCCACCAGATCCAAAATCTCGACACGCAGAAGTCGACAATCTATGACCAAGATGATCCAAATATGTCGAAGCTCCAAAACCAAAATCAATGCTCGACAACCAATGACGATCCCCCTCCAGTAAGGAACGACCCATCAAAACTGTCATCTCATCTCGTCACCCTAATGTCTCCATATTAATGAAGTGTCTCAAACTGCCATGAGATAGGCACAAATGCAAGAAAGAACCCCTACCAAAGCTAGAATGACGGGTTACCTTTCTGCCAATACACTTCTTCCAATTGTTATTGACTTCTAGGACTTCACACCAATGGGGTCTGGTTGCAACCCACCAATGCCTACAACAATCCACAACTACGGAAACCAAATACCAATTACCTCCTAATGATGCCCCCTTAGAAAGCCCCCAAATGCCTGACTGAACACCACCTAAAAGACCCCTCGATCGATGGATAGAAGTGTCAACTCCACCTCGGTCTTCTTGCTCATACCAATGTGCTCAAAGGACTTTAATCTGCAGGTCAAAGCACTTCTCAACAAACCATGCACGACATAACCAATCAAATAACCCAGCCTCAACAAATGCCACAGTCTAGCCAAAACCAAAGAAGTCGTCAGCTCTCTATCAAACACCGTGCTCTCAATCAAATAATACAAATTATTCCTCCTAACGCCCTTCATCACAATCATGGACCCCAATGTGACCTTAAAACGTGAATCGACTAAGGTCACCTTATAGCCTGTTGCCTCTAAAACTCCAAGTAAAATGATGTTCTTCTTTAACTGAGGAACGAACCTCACTCCAACCAACTCCCGATTCACTTTGTCACTCATCCTAATCCGAACGGTACCGATACCACCAATAGGACATTCATGATCACTACTCATGAGCATGATCTCCCCTCTTTCCAACTCCTGAAAGCTGGAGAACCAATCCTTCATAGGGTAAATATGGTAAAAAGCACCAGAATCCAACATCTACTCTGTAGAGTCGGCAACACAAACTGATGGTAGTGTAGATAACAGGTAGCCTGAAGAATCCGAATTTGAATTATTACTACTAGCCTTGACAACATTTACCTCTGAAGCTTGAATAGCTTTCCCATTATTCTTTCCGGCTCGATCAACCAACTTTGGGCATTCGGCTTTCCAATATCCATCTTCTTTACAAAAGGTACACTGATTCCTACGAACTCCAAGATGTGCCCCTCTAGACTGCGACCTCCTACCACGGTTTGGACTCTTTGCCCTTGCGACCAATGCTCCCGCTACCGGCTTAACTGAAGTCTCCTTATCCTTCTTTCAAAGCTGATAATTCACAAGTACAACGGTGACCTTGCTATAAGAAAGAGATGCCTTCCCATTAATAAGAGTAAGAATGAAGGTCTCATATTCCTCGTCAGGCAAGGAACTCAACAACAACAACGCCTTGTCCTCATCTTCAATCATCACATCTACATTCGCCAAATCCACAAGAAGCTTCGTGTAGTGGTTCATGTGATCACCAATGGAGCTCCCCTTTTTCAATTAGAAGCGATAAAGCCTCCTCTTCAAATGCAAGCGGTTCTCTACACACTTGGTTAAATACTTGCCCTCTAGGACCTCCTAAATCTTCTTAGCCGAAGTCTCATTGATCACATCATATTTTAAATCTTGAGTCAAACAAGATCTAGTCTCATTGATCACATCATATTTTAAATCTTGAGTCAAACAAGATCTAATCACACCACACGTCGTTCTATTCATCTTTTTCCAAACCTTCTCCTCAATGTCGTCCGGTTTCCCGTCAAACTCCAAAGTATCTTCCAAATTTTACGCATTGAGCGCATCCAAGACTTCACATCTCCAAAGACCAAAATTATTTGTGACATTAAACTTCTCTACATTTATCTTCATAGAGTGGATATTCAAACTTTAGACGGTCTTCATGCCGGAAGTACCCTCTACAACTCCTTCTTTCCCGACCATCTTTCTCAAAGTACCAAAACAAATGCTGAACAAATAAAGAATAGATCCAAAACTGAGAAAGATAGAGTCTTTACCAAAAAGATCCCACCTTTGTCACCAAACGAAGCCCTAGACGAGCCTCCAAAACGACCTACTTCTCCAAATAACCCAAGCGTAGCTCAAGCTCTAATACCACTTGTTGAGCGTTGTGGAAGCCAAATAACCAAACCAACGTGTTACGAGAAATCAAATCAAACGAACGTCGAGAGAAGGTCAAACGAACCAAATCAATGTCACAAACACAAACAACCAATTTTAATGTGGTTCAGCAAGCTGCCTACGTCCACGGGGCAAGAAGAGGATATGTTTTTCACTAATAGAGAAGAAGAGTACAAACTGAGATTACAAATCACTCAAACTCACTAATTAATCTCACCAACAAATCTCTAATTCTCTCCAAACAAAACCCTAACCAATAGCTCAGAAAATACCTCTTTTCTGTGCTCCAAATATCCCCAATTTTCTTCTCAATTCTCTCTTCCAATTGTTCCATATATATATAGAAATCCTAAAATCATAGACATATTAGGAATTCTAA